AATATTCTATATATATTTTGTTCAAAGTTTAAATATTTATATATAAAAACCAAAATAAGAATATCGCAGATTAGATATTTGTCTGGGCATTGATATTTTTACTTTATCTATCTTTATTTAATTTAAAGGAAAAACAAAGACAGAAATATAACTTAACTGTTAGTTAATTAACTAGAGATTGGAAAATTTGGGAAAATTTGCTTTAGGGGATGAACTAACCTAACCTAACCTTTTAATTTTTCAAGCTCCTAAGAGATTTTATTGATTTGATCTTTTAAAACGATAGAGATTGATTGTTTTGATCTTTTAAAACTAATATCATTTAATATTTCTAGGAGGAAATACTTTTTAATATTTTTTAATACTTTTAGGAGGAATTTACCTTTTTTTTAATTATATAATATGCTTTATGGCAAACTTAAACAATTAAGTTATATGTTAGCAAACATTTATTATAATACCATTGATTTCTATCATACGCAGAGAAAATATTGCAGTAAAAATTATAATGCAACTTTAATAGTCCGGGAATAGACTGGTCTTATTACGAAAATTAAAGTAAAACATAATAAAAATTATTATAAATGTTGTAAGAGTTATGTATAAAAATTATCATAAATGTTGTAAGAATTATCATGTTTATCATTTTTACTATATTTTATTATAATTTTATTATAATTTTATTATAATTTTCGCAATAGTGCCAGTGTATTCCTGGACTAGTAAAATTGTATTGCAATTTTTACTACAATATTCTCTCAATGTATATTATCTTTGAATATTTTTAAAACCGTGACTATAAAACACCTTAATTAATTAAACTTAATTAGTTTTCTTAGATTAGCTTGTGTTTCCCTTTATAATTATTGTTTCTTGAATTATTTTAATTACCCTTTTTGTATATTTTTAAAAATATCTGTAATTTATATAAATCAAAACTATCAATAAAATCTCTTAGGAGCTTAAAAAATTGAAAGATCATTTAAAATTCTTTCATCCCCTAAGGCGAATTTTCCAAAATTTTCCAATCTCTGCTTAGTTAACTAACAGTTTTCCCTTCTATTTTTCTTTTTTATACTTCATGTTATTGTTTTTTGTACTAAAAGGACCAATTGTAGTTTAATTAAATAAATGAGTAAATAAATTAGCCACTGTGAAGACCATGTGACGTCTGGGCTTTATGATTCAGATGAAATGAAATTTTTCAATGTCATGCTTCTCAAATCTACAACTCTAGATGTAACAGTTTCTTTTAAAATGCTTCAGTTCTTCGCTAACGCTCACATTTCCAGCGCCAAATAATATGAAGCCGAATATATCCGAAGAAGGCACAACAGGTACTCGAAGTGCTATAACTTTTCCCTTATCGCTAATCAGATCTTCCCTTGATTACGAATGATCTGTCTAGACGCTCTTATTTCTATGGGGAGGGTCAGAGAGTACCAGACGTACCTCACGAACGACTAATGTTATCAATAATCGAATAAACGCTTTTATTACGAAACCCAATTTCTCATTTACAGGAGGAGGAGTATCGATTCGCGTGAGAGACGTGTCGCGGATTATTTACAGGATCTCGACGCGAAAAGTTATCGTTATAGCAGTTGAGCTGCCATCACTACCATCGTCGTCTCCGTCGCAATGACTGGGCCGATTGTGCGCGCGATGGAAATGTTGGAGCGAGCTTGATGAAACCCGCGCGACACACAATCCCGATTAGTAATCGCAACCCTATCGAATAAGTACATCACATCGCTCGGCATTTTAATGATGAAGGTCCCTGTTTCTCATAACGGATATGAGGCAAAATACGAGCCCGTGCGCGTCGAGTCCACGCCCCCGGTCGCAAAATAATATCGTGTTCGCGATATGCCTCTTTCTCGTATAATTTACCTTTCGCCCCCCCCCCCCCCC